GTGTATATCTGACAAGACATGTCTATGATGTGTTCAAGTTTAAGGCATTTGTGTTTAGCCTTGGCTTCTGCATACATGCTAAATTTTAACTATTTGCCAAGTTAATTTGACACAAATATTCTATTTATTTTGTACAGACATCATGCAAAAAAGACTAAACACAAAAAAATCCATACATTTTAAATGTATGTTTTGTCTGTGTGCTGAAAATTGTCAAGTGCTGTGAACAGGCGTTTGAGGACAGGTGGGATATGATGATGTTCACAGGTGAGTCTCTCTGTCAGGGCTGGAGTCTGAGGACTGTATAAGCTGCTCATAATCAGCGGAGCTGTTCTCCTCTTTACTCAGAAACTCCAGCTCACTCTTCCCATCAGCCTTTGTCTCCTCTCTCAGAATGTGTCTTTTGAGCAGAGCAAAACCCCAAATGCAGAGTAAGAAAGAGATGGCCCTCAATCCAAATGTGAGGCCCAGGCACACATCCTGTAAAAATAAAGAAGAAAAGAAGAAAAAAAGAAGCACAACTGTTAGAAAACAAAATATTCTGTAGACTTTGGAGTTTGCCAGGCTTCAAATACTGTATGTCAGAATCAAGCAAATCTATAATTAAATTATCTTCTAAAGTGGCAGATGATAATTCTGTTATATCCTTTTAATTTGCATTGCAACCTCATGAATGACTTTGTATTTAAAACCAACTTTTAGCTCTTTATCCTGAATAGAGCACTTGAGCATCACTAATTATGTCCACTGGGAAGCGCTGCTGTGCATAAACAAAACTGTCTGAAAACGGTAAAAGAAAATAGTGAGTCGTTGCACTGATGCTTAGAAAACTGACAACGTACAAGCAAACATCCTGGTGAGATGTTTTACAATCATACTTTAGTTGAAGGAAATAAATTTAATAATAATATTTATGCATTTGAATGAATTAAATATATTATTACAAAAGAAGAAAAAAAATGTTAAACATTAAATGGAGAAAATTTACCAACAAATGTAATTTTGCAAATATATCTCTTACAATAAAAAACATAAGGGTTAATAGCTTCATATTAATTCCCCATGCTACTAAAAAGGAAAGAAAAGCAACATTTTTAAAAACATCTAATAGCCTTTCAAATGTTTTCATTCTAGTTTGTCAGTGGCTATTAACAGCTTGTAAAGAGTTTATTTCGAGGGTAATAGATGCAAATCAATGAAGAAATTAAATATATTTTTAAAACAAAAGAACAAATCTAACTGTCCTATAAGCTGTATTGTTGTATATTCTGCAATGACCTTTTTCTCCACATGTGTTGTATCCCCATGTGAGGCAGGATGAATCTGTTATGGCTCCAAAGTATATGGGAGCAGGTACTTCTGCTGTTGGGCAAAATTTAAAAAACTAATGAGATCCCAAAAAGAGTTAAGTCAGGACTGCATAAACACATGGTCTATATTAGCAAAGGTAAGTGTGACTTGTTCAAAATGACTAAATACCTAAAAGATTTAAACACAACAATAATTAACAACAAATAACCATGCTTAAATTAAATGTGCTAAATGCATTTATCACCATCCTAAAATATCCACCTGACTCAAGTTTTTTATTTATTTGTTTTTTTATTTTTTTGTATTTCCTAAAAAGTACTGGAAAAAAATAAAACTAGATGATTTTAGGCAGGTGCAATATATTATAATTAGCTTCCAGTAATTTTACAAATTATGCATCCTTTGATTGACACCTGTTCTAAATTTCTATGTATCAGACTTTAAATAGACAGGATTTATGTGTGTGTCCAACTTGAGTGCAGTTTTCATTATGGTTTCGTTAGCAAAACCAAGCTCCAAAATAAAGACAACATAATTTCACCAAATCCCACCAAAATGCAAACTGTAAAGCATTACAAAAGGATTACAATCTTTGGCAAGAACTGAATGAGTCTGTGGAGCCAGATCATAAAACAAACAAATGTACCTCAAAATTTTAATTTTTGATGTTGTGAAAATATATGTTGGACCACAAAGAACATATTTCCCATTGTTTAAACACTCGGTGTCTCAATGACATATCACATCATGCAATTACTCACTCAAAAAACCGATCTCATGGTCTGGTAATTTGGCAGCGTATTTGACATAGAACTATAAATAACATAACGGGACAGTCCCTGCTGAAATAATCAGTGCAGGCCACAGTCCAAACAAAACTATCAGTCACTCGTGTCCTGTTTTCTTTTCAGTAGGTTTTAATTCCAGTAAGATGTGGCAGGTTTTGAAAGATGACAAACTGTGTGTTTCCATTGAGCCAAGAGAAACTACCATTAACCACCTTGCCACTGATACAGTCAGTTAGACTTCTGCACCTGGCAGCACATGCCCAACATTTAAACAACATATTTAGTGACATTTGGAAGCAAGAAATTCATTCACACATTACACTAAAGATCTTTACCCAAGACTCGCAAAGCCAGAGTGTGAATTCCAAGAGCCAGGGATTTTAGCTCAGGCTTAGTGCACCTATTGACACAAGATAAGGGAGGTTAACACCACTTGTCTTTCAATAATGAGACAATTACACTGATTTACAAAGTTGTGAATATAAGAGAAATTCAGTAATAAACAATAAAGCAAG